TTCTCAAGTATGTATTTAAAGGAGACATGAGTTTAGTTTAATTGATTAGAGTAGTGTGCTCTACTTTTTAGATCAAATTTTGAATCCCACTTATTTTACTTTAGATGAATTTAGTGTAATTATATACATTTAACAATATTTCAGTTTTGTTCTTACTTTTGGTCGCACCTCTTTTCTTTTCCGATGATGTTAACCCAAATAATTCCGAAAATTATAACAAAATTTCGGGGCAGAGATGCTGCAGAAAGACAAAATGGACAATAATCAAGAGTATATATTTTCGCTTTGTTTGTGAGTATTTGAAATTGGAATAACTTTTTCAGCATTTTCACTTGTAGGATTTTTTATTTTATTTTATTAAGCCACAAGCAAATGAATGAATATTTAGCCAAAAAATGTGAGTGAAGTGAATAAATATTCTACCTAAACAAGGATATAGAAAATTTCATCCTGTACAGCTTAAACAGAAACACCAAATACTAGTTTTAATATAAAATTCGAAATTGATTAAACCAACTACATTTTTTCCTTATTACTAAAAAAAAAAAATTAGCATGATTATGCGAATTTCTTCTAAAAAGTATTTAAGAAACCGTAGCATCATATATATATGATTCATTCGACTAGGATTAGAACGGGACTTTATTTGGCAAAATATATTCCTTGAATGGGAATGATACTGATTGGTCCCCGTCAACCACACGATGGCACTAATTAACAACATAAGCCTTAACACAATTTTAACGTGTTAGTTCTTGGTCACACGATATCTTCTGCAGTATTATTTGCATTGCTTCCTGCAGGCTATTCTAGGACCGATTTATAATTTTTACTTTTTGTGGAAGAGCCGAATTAATTTGTTTATTTGCATAAGTAATATTAGGCGAAAAAAGAATTAAGCATAAGAGTATAATTATTTCCTACTACTGAAATACAAGTCCTTTGCAACTTATTTCTACTATCATTAGTTATCTTGGTAGGTGATTCTTACGGGTGACATGTTAACTAGGAGATGATGAATTTGGACTTCATATACTTTAAACAATTTTTCTCTTTCAACAATTGTTGGATATGGAATTGAAATCGAACTTCTTTTAACAAATTGCAAATTGAAAGCCAGAATTTGAGTTTTAAGATTTAGGAATATGTAAGGAAAAAAAATTCATACATACCATTATTTGTAATCCAAATATGAATAAGAGTTTTGCATTAGTGAAAATAAACTCGTAGTGTATGATTTGTAAACATAAAATTTTACGGTATTTCAAAGTATTCTTTATTTTTAAAATTTTAACTGTTAGCTTTTGGTTAATGTATGGCTCAAATGAGTTAAGGGTAAGGATTGGAGATCAGAAAGTACTAAAGAGCGACTGCTTTCGCTAGTTAGGGTCTATCTTGCAAAAGAACGGAGAGTTGGATTGGAAGAGTGCATCCGGCGTGTTGTGTGACAGTCGTATGCCACTGAAGCTCAAGGGAAAATTTTATAGGACAGCAATAAGGCCATCAATGCTTTATGGCACGAATTGTTGGGCAGTGAAGCATCAACACGTACATAAAATGGGTGTAGCAGAGATGAGAATGCTTCGTTGGATGTGTGGGCACACGAGAAAAGATAATATTAGGAATGAGGATATCCGAGGTAAAGTAGGAGTAGTTGAAATTGAAGGAAAGATGAGAGAAAATTGGTTACGGTGGTTTGGACATGTGAAACGAAGGTCTATTGACGCTTCAGTTAGAAGATGTGATTACATGACAGAGGTTCAAGGCCGAATGGATAGAGGAAGACATAGGAAAAACTTTGGAAGAGACTCTAAGAAAATACTTAGAGTACTTGGATCTAACGGAAGACGTAGCACACAACCGAGTGCAATGACATTCTAAGATTCATACAATCAATCCCATTTAGTAGAAAAGGCTTTATTGTTTGTTGTTGTAGCAGCTTTTAGTTAATGTATCTTTAATTAAGTATGAATCTAAAAGTTAAAAACCTCAAGTTTAGAACAAATTAAGATTCTTGGCTCCACAAACTAGAGAGGAACTCATCTTCAAAATAGTTCTTGATCAATACGTAGAATTTCTTACTTGTGATTGAAATGATTTATATTATAAAATACTTTGTAAATTTGTTTAGGGTAAACTGTCAACTTAGTTCTTAAATTATCACTTCAATGAAAATTAGGTCCTTAAACTATGTTTTCAGAAAAATCGGTTCTTAAATTATAAAAATCTGCCAATTACATCCCTAATATTAGATTCGAAGTTACTATATTCAATTTTTTGTCAATTTGAATCATGTTTCTTGCATGTGATACACATTGGAAATTTTTCATAAAGAAATAGTGTTTGGAGTTAACTTTGGAGGGTAAATTGGATGTAGATTCGCAACCTATATGAAATGTTAAGGGCTTATAGACGAGAAAATGACGATATTACACTCTAAAGTGTGTAAAGTGACTTAAGTTAACAATAAATTGGATAAAATAACTTTGAATATAATAGTAATGATGAAATTAGTAATTTTTAATGAATTTAGAGACTTATTTTACTGAAAAATAATTTAGAGACCTAATTTTCACCTAAGTAATAGTTCATGGACTAAATGGGCAGATTGCCCTTTTTTTAATAGAAAATCAATTAAAATTTAACAATTCAATTGTAGTAGATTAGGTAGACGATTCGAATACTTTTATTAATTTTATGCATCTTTAATTAACTATGAATCTAAAAGTTAAAAACCTCAAGTATAGAACTAAGATACTTGACTCCACAAATTATGAAGGAACTGCTTCTCAAAATAGTTCGTGGTCAATACACATAATTTTTTGCTTGTGATCAAAATAATTCATATTATAAAACACTTGGTAAAATTTACTTTAATAGAAAATTAATTAAAATTCAACGAATCAATTGTAGCAAATTAAGTAGACGATTCAAATACCTCTATTAATTTTGACTATAGAGTTTTATACACTTGATTTCGATGACTAAATGATGTTAAATTTTATTATTTAAATTTTTTTTATATTGTGATTTATAATTTGAATAATTACCATCGCAAGTAGAGAGTATAGTAATTATTCATTGTAAGTAGAAAGTACTGTAAATAGGTAACAAATAAATTTAAACAGATAAATAGAGAAATGGGGAGCCATATTTATCTGGATCTAGAAGTATAATCTCTGTTTAAATTTGTTAAAGACAGTAGTTAGTGCTTGATTGATCATTTAGACCATCTTCAAAGAACAACTCAAATATACCAAATAGAATTAAAAGAAATAAAGGAGTCAAATGTATTTAATTGAATTTTTTAATACATAAATTCCATTAACAACCAATAAAATAAAAACTAGAATTAATTTTGATTATTTTTAATAGTTAGTATAACTCTAGGCCTAATAAAGTAATAAAATAAATATTTGACATATTTATTGAAAAAAAAGAGAATTTAATATTTATATTTAATTTGTTACAATGATCATCAAATAAAATTTTGAGATATTATATTTGATTAGTTGTATTCTTGATAGACGCGAATCTCGCATTGCATTCGATTAAGAATCGTACAGGCATGTGTCGGCAAACAGCAGAAGCCGGAAAGCAAAGGAGTAGGAAGGGTAGGGTTTTATGCAATTGTTTGACAATATTGCCCTTGGGAAGGGCTACAGTGAATGGTGGACCTGGGCGGTTGGCATGGCAAAGAAGGGAAAAGCACCAAAGGTAGGGAGTTTGTCTCCCTCGATGGCGCAGTCTTATCAGCCACTCACCCCAACTTCCAAGAAGACACCCGTCCAGAGTACCTCACCCTACCATCATTGCAATCTGACGGCAGGGAATACGGCTGGTTTCATACTCAAACTCCAAGTCATATCAATCAATGGCTACAAATCATTTCGGGCTTCTTTAAAAATGCTTTAAAATGATTAAAAATAATTTTAAAGAAAATGTTTTTAAAAAGTAAAATCTATTTATATTTTTATTAAAGATTTGTTTTAAAAATATTAAAAAAAAACAGTTCCAAACAAATCCTAAGTGTGTTGAAACCAACTTCAGTAAAATTGCCTCACTAGGATAGTGGATAGCCCTGAGGTTAAACCAATCTACAGAAATCCTATGTTTTAAGCAGTCACGTAATTATCCTGCCCTATCAAAGCTTTTTATTAAGAACTTGTATTAATATGTGGAACACCATGGTGGCTTTTTAACACCAATATCAAATAGTGATAGGTGCTAAAGTTTAAACACATTACATTGCTTAGTTGCAGCGGATGCATTGTCAAATCATGGTGCTATATGATCAAGGTTTTCTTGTTGGGATCCAGCTACTAATTTTATGTCGAATTTTTGCAATAGAGACTGATTGGGGTTTCTCACATAGTCATTTCGGCTTTTCTTGTATTCTTTTCGCTAGCGAGATCTGGTTTTATTCATGTGTTCTTGCTGTATTTTATTTTCGGCTTTTGCGTTTTGGTGTCTGCTGTATTTCATCACCCTTACTACTGTCGTTTCTCAAAGTGTGAAACAGCGGGAGACATACATGCAGTGACATTAATCTCTATCAATTGCATTACTCTTTTAAACATAGTTGATAATTGTCATAAGTGTTTCCAATTCATATTTATTTATGCATATGAATCGGCAACACTCCATAAATTCCAATTAAGTTTTTAAAATAAAATATCAACTATATCAATTATACTATAATACGTGATAATAATATTACATGACAGTATTATAACATGTTATGTAATGGTGTAACAGACGCAGTCAGAAAACTCTCACCCCACCCATGTGTTGTAAAGGACACGTGTTACACGTACTCTGAAACAATCTCAGCCAACCAATTATTCATCTCAACACACACAAAATACTAATCAAGAATCGTCTCTGTCTCTCGGTTAATCTTTAGGTTAATCTCAAACTTTGTTTTCCTTTTTTCTCAAAAAAGCTTTATTTGTCTAAATAGAATTGTCTTCCCAAAAAACCAATCAACTCAGATCCCTCTTTCATCTTCTCCTCCCACCTCCCCACCACAAACCTTTAAAAAACATCAAATTCTTGAGGATTTCCCTTATTTGACCGTTCTGGGTTTCGCCGTTCCCGCACTGTGGATTCACTCAGGTCACTTCTCTGGCTACGTGTTACGGACACCTGGACGTCCCGTTCTGCATGATAGAGAGAGAAAAAGAGAAAGGCAGGGAGGAGATAAGGTCATAAATAAGAACAGTCAATGAAGAGAGAGAGACAGACAGTAACACAGAGAGAGAGAGAGAGAGAGGGTAGTACATAGCAGCAGTACAGCTTCTTTTGGTATTGGGGTTTGTGGAGGTTGCTCCCATTTTTTCTTCGTTTTGTCTTATTTTTTGCCATTGAGCGAAACCCTAAATTTATTTTACACCAAAATAGTATTACTCGTAGATTTTTCTGACATTTTGGTATCTTTCCTTATATGGGTTTTATTTTTCTTTCTTCCTGGGTTCTCAGATCTGACCCGTTTCAATCAGTCTTTTCATTACTTTTTTGCTTTCAAGTTTTTCTTTCTTCACAAACTTTTTCTTCTTATTAATCAAAAGAAATTGGCAATTGGGTAGTTATATTATTGTGGTGAGTGTTAATTTGGTTGGGACTTAGGGTAGAAATTGACAGAAGAGAGTGAGCACACAGAGGCACTTGCCATAAAGCGTATGCCATTGCTTTTGCGTGCTCATGTCTCTGTCTGTCAGCTTCCCCATTTCCACTGCCGGATTAATATCAAGTTCTTCATTTTTTCCTTCTCATCCCCATCCTTCTTCTGGTCTCTCTTTAATTTATTTCACCAGTTCCCCTCTCTTCTCTCTCTCTCTCTCAAAATCTTTTATTTATGGTGCTTAATTAACTGCTCAAAAGGGAATTCAGACTTCAAAGTAAACTGAATCCCTAAGCCTAGCGTAGCTAAGAAAGCATGCTCCTGTTACTCTCTTGAAATCGGTAAGTGATTATATGTATATTATATCAATTATTTTATGTTATCTTATCAGAAACTGGTGAAATGAGAGCGTGACTTTTGATATTGTTTTATATATAAGAATGTGGATATATCTGTTTACTGTGCGAAATTAGCGGCAAAAACCAGGTTATCAAGCATAGCATTAGTACGGGACCATCATTCACGCTCTCTGGTATTAGTATGGTCCTCCCTTTCTCTCCCTTCCTTCCTCACTCGTCATCTTGAAACCCTGATGTAGTCCAAAAATTGGTAATTTTGATTCCTTTTTAAATTCATACGCATGCGATTCTTACTTGGAAACTGGTTCTTTGTTTGGACCTTTTTTGTTATTTGGTTTAATTAATGGATTTCTGTAGAACCCTATTTAGCAGCCTGAGTAGGGTTGATTTGCTTGCTTTACTATTGATTACAAAATTTTATTTTAAACCAGCTAGTTAGTTAATTTCACACCCATTATCTTTGAAAATATCATCAGTGAATGCATATAGTTCTTATAATTCTATTGTGATTTAATATGATGATCGAAGATAAAACGACTATGGTTTTGTTATCTGGCTCTTGTTTGTTTGGTTGATTTTGCAGGTAAGGTTTATGGATTGATACAACGGTCCACCCATTGTCAAGTTGAAAGTATTTTCTTCCTTTTTTTGGGCTTGTGTATGGAGCTATATCTTTCAAGTTTCATCAGATGAAAACTTAACAGGTATGAATTTGCTTTCGGAATGATCAAAATCATCTGGTGGTTCATTTCTTGCACCGAAATTTATGTATATATTTTCATCTATTTGATCTATGGCATACATATATTTATTTGATTTTATTTTTAGACTTGTGTCTCTAATTAGACGCTGCTGGTAAGTATTTCTAACCCAATTAAATACTGGATCTTAATGCATACTGCAGTAACATGAATAATTTCAATATTTGCTTTTATCTTGCAGTGAAATTTATTTCATATATGTCCACAAACTGGTTTTTTATTCAAAATGGAATGCACTGTTAGCAAACAATAATGACTGTGATACACTAGTAAGTTTTGAAGCATGGATTGATCTTATATTAATTTTAGAATTGCATTGCATGTATTCCTTATAGCATGAATTTCACTTTGAGTTTGAAGTTGCTATACAATTGAAGCCATTTTTTGTGGCTTAACATTGATTCATGCCCAAAATTGTACTATTTCTTGTATGGTTACTGGTTGCGATTATAAATTAGTAACCATTTAGTTAGTTAATTTGTGTGACTGTGTGTTGTAATTTCTCATTACATTTGTTTAGCAATTTTTTTTGCTATTACTTTTTCATGTATCTATAGAATCTAGACTTTTTGTGGTCCTTCTTCCTTTTTCCATCGACATTCCTGTAAGTTGATATGCATGCAATGCAATTGATTTTTAACATCTAACTCATTGTATTTGGTTTTTCATTTATCTAGCATGTACACTTGTGTGTGGCCACACGAACAAAATATTATTCTATGTAGGTTCTACATATCAAACACTAGCCACATCCCATTCTCAGTACGTTTCTTCGATGTTATGAAGGCATAAGTCAACAAATTATTCCAGCAAATACGCATGGAAGTTATATGTCAAATCGGTACGGGATATAACTAACTTGCATGTGAATGTGAGGTACTGTTAGGCTTTTGATGGTGTTCATAAGATTCTTATGTTAGGAGAAGGTACATACAGATCTTGCTCATGCTGTTTTTTTGTTAAATTTTGTGGTCCAGATTCACTAAACTGAGCAACACGAGCTTTTTTTTTACAAGTCTAGCTAGGAGGAACAATACCCTTTTAATTCATGTGATTGGTAAGCCAATTAAAGATGGCTTCAGCCTTATCTTTCGAAAGTACAAATAGAAGAGAAAAAGTTGCTTTGGCATCGCTTCATATTGAGTTTGTTGTGTTCCTCGTGTACTAAATGGCTTACCATCTCAATCACATGATACTGGCATCAAGGTCCAAGCTTGGGGGTTGGAACTTTGTAGTACTGCATGCATGCATGCGCTCGGATTAACAACCACCACATACATTGTCCGTGGTGACCACTTTATTGTCTGTGATCGGACCATAATGTTGCTGCGGTGTTCCATCAGTACTTACTGATGTGAGATGTGAGAAGCAGAAGTGAAAGTTTGGGGACGTTTTTCAGCAATCCCACCAAGTAAACAAAAATGGAAAGCTCCACATACCATGGAAAGATCAAGAGACTGTATCTCCATCTGATCTTTTGTTCTATTTGCTTGTTTGTTGTGTGGTTAATGTGATCGATGTTGATGATTATCTATATCTTTCAAAATTGTTCAAAATTGTTTTTAGATCGACGGACCTGAGAGGTTTCACTCTAACGACATCAATAATGTTCCTAACTTTACCACCTGCCTAATCCGTGGTTTTACCATAAAAGACCTCGGTATTAGTTAGACTAAGGTAATCATATTTAAAGCCACCCTTGTTGACTTCCCCCACCGATGTAGGATTCCAACACTTCCCCTCACGTGTAACCCTATTTAGTGGCATTGACAATTGAAACTCAGAGGTTGGCTCCAATGGAGTCCAGACTTGCTTTCAATTTTTTTAGGAAGTGTCTCTTAAGAACTCAGAGGCCGGCTCGGCTCTATGTTAAGAGTCCAAACTTGTTTCCAAGTCCATACTTCCTGGTGACAAGCCTTTGGCTTGCACGAACCTATAACTGTGAGCTCTAATACCATGTTGAATTTTATTTTTAGATCAACGGGTCCAGGGGTCCCACATTAACGACACCGATACTGTCCCCAACTTTACCACCTGCCTAATCCGTTAGGTGAGAGGTTTTACCACAAAAGACCTTGGTATTAATTAGAGTATAGTAATCATATTTAAAGCCACCTTTGTTGGAATCCCACATGCTTTCCCCATCGATGTGGGATTCCAACAAAAGTCCATTATTGTTAGAACATAAAAAATATTCGTGCTTTACTCTTCATAGGGTCCTCAAGCAATTCACCTAGTGAAAATTAGTGGATTTGGAATCAATAGCATATGGTAAGGACATTTCTAATTGAACTATACTCATCATTTCATGATATTGATTGATTTTCTTGTGCTGGTCATTGTTTCATTTTGGTGAACAATGAAAGAGCGTATGTACCTGTGTCCTCAAAATAAGTTTAAGTTGGTCGTTATCATATACATTTTATACTGAAGTCCAGAAGCGCATATCATGTTTAGTTGCTTAAAAATTCTAGGTAGGAGTTTGATAGCTTGATAAAATTTCAAACATAGTCCTTTTTGTATGGTTAAAGTAAAATCTTCGTTGAACTCTACTCATGAGTTATGAATTATTGGTAGATTAGTATATGGTTACAATTAATATTAAATATTGTCCAGATTTTTTTTTTTTTTTTAACTGACAATACTCAAGATTTGAAACCTAGCTATCTAGCTTCCATCTCGCTGGCTCGTAATCCAGTGTTCCATAGTCATACTAAACACGATTGATGTGCATTTCATTTGCGAAAGAGTTCAGTGTCAAGATCTAAGAGTTCATCACGTTTTTCCTCTGAACAACTTGAATACATAATGACAAGTACTGCATTCTCCACAGTTCTTATATATCTTAGAAACAAACTCTTGATAGAGAGAGTCCTATAGTAAGAGATTGAGGGCAGATAGCCTGATGCCACATCAGCATAATTCATACTGATGTGGTGTCTGTTCAACTATAGCTGTGTTAGTTTAGAATGTTGTGTAATTCTTAATTATGTCATTTAGGAGAGTACATAAATATATAAAGTCTGCCTTACTTCAGATGTAAATACTGATTTAGTTTTAATGAGAAAAAGCTTTGTTATAAGCCCTAGAATTTTTTGCTTATTTCTAAATCAATTGGTGAATCTCAGTCCAGATCATGAATTCGTTGAAAGATCATAAACATCAACCGGTAAGTTTGGTATTTTTAGGTCAACCATATTTGTGGGGGGAGATGGCGTGAAATATATACTTATGTATCGCGTATATGGAAACGAAACTTTGGAATCACTTACGAGGTTGTGTCTGCAGGAGTTATAAATTGTTAAAACATTATTTATTATCTTTCAGAGTTTCATTCAAGTATATCTTCCGTCAAGCATATAAAGTTTAAGCCTGCTTCTGCTCTATATTCATGTGTGATTCCCCCTTGTAGATGAGACCTTTTCTTTGATGATTGGTTGTTATATTGTATTAAGGTTTTTGCTAAGGTTTTGATCAGGAGCTGATATACACACGTATATTTAAATAATCCAAATTCTTGTGAAAATTTGCAGGATACTATTGATTCATCGTCATAGTATATAATATATCACATCTGCCTGTTGGACGTTGCTTTTGAGTTCATCATCCCCAGTATGGCGTTAGTGTTGGAGCTCAGCTATTCTCTTTCACTGCGGATGGCCATGGGGAGATATGTCTGCGATAATGGAGCCCCTCTTTTGTTTATTTCAGCGGAGGATCTGGATTCGCTACACTTCGTGTAGGTTTGGAGAGCGTGGAGTTCAACCAGTAAGTGCTTTCCCATATTTTTGGAAGCCTTTGTAAAGACCGACACGAATTGGCCTCTTCATGCAGTTAATTCTCTTACAATTTTCAATTATTATTTAGTGGTAGATGCCTTTTTGTACAAGGCTTTAATGGAAAAATCATTGTATGTATGTTCTTGTTTACTTTTGAACAAAATTAATTCTGGGAATGGTTTTTTCATACAAGTATATGGAAATATGGTATGCAGAAATTTGCCCTTGCTGAGTATATATCTATGGCGACTTCTTCTTTTCTCCCCTTTGATAATGGTTGTCTCTTCGTTTTTCACTTCATCCGAATATCACCTAATTACTTTATTCCGATATTCGAACTGCTTGTGTAGGGTTTCTGGTTTTAGATCAATTCAGAAACTCCGTTAAGCTTGTATCTCACCAACTATGCTGTTAAATGGACGTTATTGATTGCATTGGAGTGAGAAAATACCTGCTTTGTCCAAAATTATGAGCTTAGTCATGTATGTATTATGGCCGATTGCATGTACTGGTCGTTTATCGCTGCTGTTCGCGGCAAGTGTTTTCGGTTTGGTCAGAGAAACTGGTGCATTTCATGGTGCCAAAAGTTCCTTGGGTGCATATTTTACTACGGCCAAGTACTGTCCTTTTACTATTATTTATTAAGATTTTAGGATTCGATGTCAAGTTTTGAATCCCGATCCTCTTTATGGGGATCCTTGTGATCCGTTTATTGTACATCGTGCGGGAAAAAATTATTTTAAATATTTTTATTTAAAATTAAATACAAACAATACTTGATAAAATTTGATCGCACGATTTACAATGAACGGACACGATTTACAGATTCTCACCAAAAGGATCCGGAGAGGATCCTGTTGGGTCAAGTTTTACCCTTGATTATCTAAAATGAATTTGGTCTTGTTACGAGTTCAGCCCTGTCAGTGCTCTCAGAAACCAAATCAATTAGGGCTAAATAGACAAGCGCCAAGTTAATCGGAAAAACAAACAACTCTAGGGGAATGAAGGTAGTTCGTGCATTTCGTTATCTAATTAGTATATTTTTCTAGTGGTCATAGACCTGCTTAAGTAGTTATGACAGTTACAGTTCTTCGCTCTACCTTTAAAATGCATTCTCCACTACGTTTTAGAAAGGTATTTCAATCAATTATTCATCCACTTCTCACAACATGTTTACCAAAATCACTCCACAACTTTTAAGTTTTTATAAAAACCCCTTTGATTCATGTTTTTTTTCCTTCGGTAAAGTGCAATGTTGTTAAGGGCCAACATGTAAAAAAAATTGACAAACTAATATTCAATTGCAAGAAAAGGAACTTATAGCTTAAACTGAGATGCATGAATTCTTGCACTAGCTTAAACTTTTAAGTTTTCCCTTCTGCTTTTGTGTAGTTGATCTTGGAATTTCAGTTAAACAATATATATGTAAAATTGTGTACCTTAACCACCAACGTCATCCAGTCAGGATGGCCGAGTGGTCTAAGGCGCCAGACTCAAGTTCTGGTCCTCTAACGAGGGCGTGGGTTCAAATCCCACTTCTGACATTTCCTTTTTCATTTTTTTAACGATATAACGACGGAAGAAATCATGAACGGAAAATGATACCAAATATTGGACTCACATTTTCTTTCGTTGTGTTGTGTTAGTAAATGCAAGATATACGAATGAAAAATAATCCAAAAATTATTGACTCACTTTTTTGTTCGTTGTGCATTAGTAAACGCAAGATATGTTAAGAATGTTAAATGTGAAAGATACTTATATATATCCAACTCTTATTTTGACTCATGTAATGGTTGAGAACGAATTCCAGGCTCGTATTCCATATGGTACGTCCTAAGGTTGATTCACATGGTGGCCAGGGAGATTAAAAATGCGTCTGTGAGTATTTTAATCTCTGAAAAGATGGACGACCGTGACGAAATCATCAGCTGATCCCATTTTTGAAAAAAACAAAAAAACAAAATCTCACAATCTCATTCAAATTTCAAAATTGCTTGTTTAGTCTGAGATCAGGAGATTGTGAATTACCAATTTACCATGAATATTCTGACTGTTGGGTTAAAAACACAAATATAAATGGTTTCTCGTACAATCATTCTTTACAAAGAACCGTAGGAGCCATTAAAACCCTACTTTAGGGGCATGAAAACCATACAAGTGGAAAAGATCAATTTTGCACTATAAGAGCGCAAAATCGAGGGTTCTGTTCATTTACTCGGAGCCATTGTCGCAAAGGGATCGAGTACGAAACTACAATTTATGCAAAATGTATCCGGGGACAATAAAAACATACACCATTTAACTGTCACAAAATCTCTCAGTGTGTCGTGACACACGAGGTGCCTTACCGACTGTTGGCACACAGCAGCATTAGAAGGGCCGGTCACGAGACTTGTACAGCACGTTACGAGACCTTTCCTCAAGTTAGATCAAGCCTAGACGGAGTGAACTTCATACAGTTTTTGAAAGAACCCCAGAAGCAAATAGAAGGTTTCTTCGAGAAAACTGCAACCAGAACAAAATCACAAACATTAAATGTAATTCTCACCTCTTTATAATTATTGAGCAAAGATGGATAAGTTGCTGTTATTCACAATTTGTGCATTTACCCGTAACGAGTAGACGGGAGTAGACTTGGTCGGCAAAGTCCTCAATGATCGGAGTCTGCTGGTATTTCCACTTTTGCTGATCGAAACCATAATGTTAGTGAAATCACTGTGTTTACAGAATCTCATAAGAACGAAAGAAGAGTTGAGGAACTCACTTTTCTTCAGTTCTTGGCAACTTTGTACTTGCAGTAACGTCCCACAGTTTTACAGTACAATCAGCGGACCCAGAAGCAAGAAGCGAACCCTCACCACTGACATATCAAAATCATACTTTAGACAGTTTTCTAAACGGAAAACTATGGTAAGAGAAAGAAAAGATGATCTACCTGAAATCAAGTGTCCATACGCATGAGGTGTGACCCGTCAAAGGTGTAACACAGCGCCCGGTTGAAAGGTCCCACATCATGATTGTGCCGTCTTCATCACCAGATGCCATGTAGCGACCGTCAGGTGACATTGCCAGAGACAAAACCATACTCCTGTGACCAATAAATATTCGGACACACTCTCCAGTTTGTACGTCCCACAATCTAACTGTTTTATCACTAGAGCCAGTGGCAACGTAGTTGCAGTTGGCATGCCATTGCACACACTAAAACAAAACAAAAAAAATCCACACAGTAGAATTTGGTTGCATGGATTAGAGGCAGTAATTCAATAAAATACTGAACATCTTCAAATATACAACAATAGAGATGCAGACATAAAGAGAGAGAGAGAGAGAGAGAGTTACTGACATCAACATCAGATAAATGCCCAGCCATTATTCTCAAAGGCTGTATTCTGTCCATAGACCAAATCCTTGCTGTTCGATCGTGTGAAGCACTGGCAAAATAATGACCGACAGGGCTAAACTGCATAAGACAACCTCTCCCATTAGAGTAGAATTAAAAGAGGTAGATTGAAGTGGATAAAGAAGTACGAAAATGCATCCCATGCGACCAAAAGTCAAGATTTAAAATCTGTTGCTAGAAAATGTGAGTTTACTGCGGTTATGTCAAGTTCAACCAGAAATACCTGAACATCCCATACTGGGTAATTATGACCCTTGTAGCAAACAAGATTTGCATTTAATTTTGTGCTCCACAACCGAACTGCAGCATAGCAATGGAGTTTCTTACTGTTATCGACTAGTCTATTGGTATGAGAGAGGGGATTGGACAGGGAGAGGGGGAGGGGGAGAGAGATATATAATAGCTTAGACAGCATACCAGTTGAGTCCGCCGAAGAGGAAAGTATAAAATCCCCAAGGGGATTGAATGTAGCTGAATAAACTGGCCCTGAATGACCCTGAAACAAGGTATATGGTTTTTTTCCACCATTTGACAAAACTTGTTCACTTGAAGTGGTGGTACCATTCTCACCCTGCAAAGCTGCTGCACAAGCATAGTTCAATATAATTGCATATTTGCATATCTCACAAACAAGAAAAAAAAAATCAGCACACAAAAACTACTATGAGACTTACAATCAAGGCCTTGTTGCCCGATCTTTGCCATATCCCATACCTGTTGAAGAATGCTTCAATATTAACACACACTTGGAGAGCAATATGCACAACAAGGAAGTAATAAGATAAGATGAAACCTTCAGCGACGAGTCTGAAAATCCACCAGCAACCATGGATCCATCATGGGATATAGATGAACAGTTTAAACTGGCAAATTGTTGAACAAAAAGCTAAGTAATGGAGTATAAAATGGAACCCAGTGTTGGTCAGAGACAGTTAAGGGAATTACCCATTGTGTGTGTTGATGAATGTATAAAAGCTCACAGATGGCAGTGCAGCACTACTCAATTGCACACGGGTTCTCAAGTCTTCAAAGATTGACTGTTCAACCTCTGTGGGACTGAAGCAATCAACAAAAGATTAGTAAATAACCTGCATTGGATCTCAAGCATGGACTAACAATTTCCTATACCCAGACCCTGAACAGACATGCAGCGAAAGGCTTCATTTAACAAAAGTATCTAATGAATCCATGTTCAAAATTACTACCTGTCAGTTAATAAAATCAATCAACTTTACGTACTGGTAGCTGACAAAATCAACTCCCTTTTGATCTATGTAATAGCTTTGCATGGAACTGAAAATTCTTCATAAAACTCAAGCTAAGTATCTACTCCAATTGATCCCAACTTAACTGACTTCTAGTTTAAATTTAATAAGTCTCATTTAAACAATTAGGAACCAATACTATTTTTTATTTCTAACATACAGTTTCTACTATTAGCTACATCCAAAGTCAAAAGAAAAGAGAGAAGGGGGGGGGGGGGGGTTGGGGAAGAAGGGATCCCAGAAACTACATTACTGGCAGAGTAAGCTCTGGTTTGACTCTTGGTACTGCAGTTACAGGGGTTGCCTCAGGGCGTGCAGTTTTTGCGGTTGCACCAGAAGCCTTGTCCTTTTTCAACTTTTTGTTTGAAGACCCTTGTTTCGCTCCTTCACTTGATTTTTTCTGGCAAAAAAAAAAAAAAAAAAGTCAATGATATACCAGTCAATACTTACAAACACATTACTTCAGTAATTGTACTTTGAAGCTATGAACTTGTTACAACATTTCAAAACATATTTGCACCTTATTCTCATCCCCATCC